GTAAGATCCTGGGGAGTGTTGCTGAACAAAGAGATCTTGTTGTACAGGTTCATAGTCCCTTGGAAGTGGAATCACAGGTAGATAGGATAGTGAAGAACGCATTTGGTACGCTTGCCTTTATTGGTTAGTGCATTGAGTATAGGAATTGGGAGGTCATGTTGTGGCTGTACAGGACATTGGTTAGGGCACTATTGGAATACTGCGTTTAATTCTGGTCTCCCTGCTGTAGAAATGATGTTGTGAAACTTGAAAGGGTTTAGAAAAGATTTTCAAGGATGTTGCCAGGGTTGGAGGTTTGAATAGACTGGGGCTATTTTCCCTGGAGCATCAAAGGCTGAGGGGTAACTTTATAGATGTTCATATAATCATGAGGGGCATAGATAGGGTCAATAGACAAAGACTTTTCCCTAGGGTGGGGAAATCCAAAACTAGGGGGCATAGGTTTAAGGTGAGAGAGGAAAGATTTAAAAGGGTCCTAACGGGCAACTTTTTCACGCAGAAGGCGGTGCAAGTATGGAATGAGCTGCCAGAGGAAGTGATGATGGCTGGTAGAATTACAACATTTAAAATGGGTATATGAATAGGAAGGGTTTAGAGGGATATGGGCCAAATGCCGGCAAAAAGGAATAGGTTCATTTAGGATATCTGGTTGGCATGGAATTGTTGGACCAAAGTGTCTGTTTCTGTGCTATATATCTGTATGACTCTATGTGGTTCACATCGAGGATTCCTGCATTCTACAGCCAGCTGAGCTCACACTGTAAGACATTTCAAACGTTGCTTTGACCATGTCCTGAAGGCCACCCTCATAGACTGTATGTTGTACTCCACTACGTGAGAAATAAAAACAATCTTGGACAGAGCTAAACGGAGAAGTCTCTGACATCAAGCAATCTCAATATTTGAGGAGAACAGAATCAGGCCCCTAAATGAAAAGTCAGCACACCACAAAGCCAGTGCCTTCACCCACACTTCCAACAGTGACTTCCTTTTCAACACTTGCAATTGGATCTGCAAATCAAAAATTGGTTCACCGTCACAAATGAGATGAGAACAGCCGTGGTAGAGAACAATCGGTCACCCTGCTGCTTTAACATTTCTGGTTATCCCTCTGTGGGTTCACTAGTCAGCACTACATTCACCGAAACAATGAAGTGGGCTGTCAATGCTTCATGTTCTTGATGTCAGCTTCTCAATTCAGTCTCCTCATTAAAATTCCAGCAGTGTCAACACAACTGTTGAAGGCAATGATGACATTTTCACAATGCCTTTCACCAACAATATCAATTGATGTAAACATTTGAAGAAGTGAGGATTCCAACAGGCATTTGTGTTGCCAAGTGGCCGTGATGTATAATAAAGGTATACTGAATATAGATTAAACTGACTAAATTGGCCTTTCTCTCAGTTTTGCAGAACAAGCTGCCCTTTGCATGTAAAGGTACCATGGAAAGGTTAATGACGATCGCACCATCCATTTGCATCAAACTAGTGCAACCTTATTTTTAAATATCTGGATTCCATCCAAGGTGGAGATAGCTGATATAACAATATGTTGACAAACATAACCATGCCATTGAGTCAGTAATCCTTCTTTATGATATAAATGGCCTGGTGGTATTACCAGTTCTGAGGAAGAGTCACTCAACCCGAAATGTTAACTCCAAGTTCTCTCCACAGTAGCTACCAGACCTGCTGAGCTTTTCCAGCAATTTCTGTTTCTCTTAGTGGTATCATTGCTAGATTATTAATCCAGAAACTCAGTTCACATTCTGGGTACCCAGCTTCATGGCAGATGGTGTCATTTGAATTAAATGAAGAATTTGGAGTTGAGGGTCTAATGATGACCATCAAACTATTTTTCATTGTCAGAAAAACCCATCTGGTTAACTAAAGTCCTGTAGGGAAGGAAATCTGTCATCCTTATCTATTCTGGCCTACACGTGACTCCAGACCCACAGCAATGTGGTTGACTCTTAACTGTCCTGACCTACGGCAATAAATGCACATCCCTTGAAACAATTTTTAAAAAAGGCAGGGAAATGTGAGCAAGATGTGACGCCCAAGGCTGGGACACATTATTGTACAGTTTAATCCGACTCCTTTATGTGGGCTTTCATACAGATAATCACAGGACGCACGCTAATTGTTTCAAGATTTCACTGAACTTTTACATCACATTTTTTTTCTTGATTAGGCTTAATCTTGTCCCAACTATTTCAGAGTCTTAAAGGTTTTCAATGTTTTTTTTCTCATCTTTGTGTTTACTTTCATAATTACAGTTACTGAGGCCAGTGTGTCACAGGATACTGCACCTACATCTGTGTAGCACAAGCCTCTTACGGGGAGTAAGCTGAAGCAAACAGATCTGAATCACCTATCAGCAGCCTCCGTCATTTTCTGTAATCATTGACCAACCATCACCATTTTGTTCCTGTTGCTGTGTTTGTGATAAAGAACATTCATTACAATGACTATATTGTTTTCTGAGGCTGTTGGTGCAGCCTTTCAGAACATTCTCTGGGAGCTTGTCAACATTTACAGACTGTACCCAACAATGAAGGGTTTTAAAACTGCTCTGAACCAATGTTATCAGGCACAGAGGGCTTTTGTTTTAATTTGCACTGGACATGTGTGGTGTGTTTGTAGAAACGTAACAACACACTGATTAAAACTGCAGGCACTCAGACAGATGTGAACATTGGTGTCAGCGGAGGTGTGCAAACTTGGGAACTACATTGTCCATTGTAATAGAGGGGAACCATCCGGTGAGCAACGGAAATTGGTGGATAATTATTAATTTCCAAAATTTGATTTTGTATTTTAGGCTCAAGAACAAATACAAAATGATCAAAGACTTACTGATTTATCGACAAAGAAGAGAAAACAAAATGCAAATAATAGCGGGAGCGCAAATGCACCCTGTGATTCCATCTTGCTTAAGGTGTTGTCAAAGAAAAATTGAATCAAATAAATTATTTACGTAATGTACATGTTTCCACTGTTTAATCTTAAAATTAGCTTGCGAACACCAGAGGGCACTGTCTACATAAAAGAAAGAGAAAGATTTTTAAGAGAGCTTGTCATAACTATCAGATCTCTTAAAGCGCTTTACAGCCGATGAAGTGTGTTTTGAAGTGTAGTCGTTATTGCTAAGTAGAAAGCATTGACAATCAACACAAACACATCAAACAGCAATGTGATTACATCCAGTTAATCTGTGATGTTGTTGGGAGGTAAATATCAGCCACTCTACGACTCTTCTTTGAAATAGCACCATGACATTTTTTACATTCACCCGAACAAGCAGATGCAGCCTTGATTTAAAATTTCAACTTAAAAAAGGCACTTCTAATATTCAAATACAGTGCTGGAATGTTAGCTTTGATTTTTGTACTCGGCCCTTAAGCCGGACTTAAACTTGCAACTATGTGAATGAGGAACTACCTACCTAAACTACCAACTTAGTCATTGTTAGCACAGAGTAAAATATTTTTGAGAAACAAAACACAGGTCTGGTATAAATTTTAAATAAATTTATGTGAGTTTTATATTTGTCTCTAAGGTCAAAATGCCTCCAAAATACCACAAATTTTTAAATATTACTTGACATCTGGAACAATATTCACAAATTCTGAAGTAATGCATGAACATAATGGATAAAGTTTGCACGGTGGATCAAAGCTGCAAGTGACAGGAAATTTAGCCCAATGTTGGTCTAGTTTTGAGAAGAGTCTGTATCCCGAATGTTTCCAGTTAAACTAATTTGCAAAATGCCAAACATACAATCTGTCCTAAACTAGCGCAAATAGGTAGCATTTTTGTAAACAATTTTTTGTTAAAGAAATATATTCTTAAATATTTCTGATATATTTAAGACTGGTAACTTCGTATAAGTACTTAATACAGCTGAAAATGGATTTATCATGAAAGATAACATTTTTCATCACCATGTCAACCGTGAGTAAACAAATTTTAAATAATTGAAAACTGCCTTACCTTAAAAATAGCAGTCAGTTCTGTGGCAAATTAAAAATTAAGAAGCTGTTAGAACATGAATGTTAGCGTTCATGTGCCTACAAAATTTTTAGATACTCCTTGAAGGTTTCTCCTTCTTTTGTTTCTTCTTTAGTTATGCTGCTATTAGTGTTGTTTAAGGGCTCCAGGATGTTGGAGCAAACTTGTAATGATGTCACAAAGCTGCACATCACTAAGTATAAATGCTGCAGAGTGGACAGAGTTAGAAATTCTGGAAGAACACCACCAGACTACAACAATCTAGACTGAAGACACAAATGAGTACATGAATGTGAACACAAGAAGATGATAGATTAGACATAGTAGGAACTGCAGATGCTGGAGAATCTGAGAAAGCAAGGTGTAGAGCTGGATGAACACAGCAGGCCAAGCAGCATCAGAGGAGCAGGAAGGCTGAC